GACGAACGCGACTGCGGGAAAACATGCTGTATTGCCGATTACCAGTTTGACAAATGAATGAAATGCCTGCAAATATATAGTATGAAATAGTGGTCAAATATGGCCATTTACTTGTTGAATCACTGTCTTCTTGTTCAGGCCACTTCGCGACCAGGTGGCCAAGTAGGACCAATTCCATATGCGTTGCGCTCACTTGCACGTATCCTCCTAGCGCGACACCCACGCTCACTTTCACGTCCCTGCTTGCGCGACACCCATGCTCAGCCGTCACCGAAGGCCTGACTGGTTTGCAGTGATGACTGATTTCCTCAGCCGTCACCAATGTCCTCACTAGATTGTTTTGAGGAATTTGCCTCCTAACATTTATAACCCTACCAATCATGTGGAATCAACACGAGACTTGAGAGCATACGTTAGATTTCTGCTAATTAGTATATGACCAAAATTAATTTGACATGGTAACTCGAGCCTAGTGTTTAATTTCGAAAGAGGATGACTGGAAGGTCTATCTGAATTCGAACGTTGCGACCAAATGTGAGTGATGTTCAAGTTTAAATTAACCAAAGCCCCGACTACTAACCAGTATTCTAAAATATCGCCTAGGACGTTTAGTCAGATCGGAGGTGTGGGTCTCTCTGGGAAATCCGAATCGCTGGATTATCAACTAGATTTAACAGGACAGTTTCTGCGTCTCCACTCACTGAAGACGATCGGGCAACCTGATCATTACTCACAAACCAAACTGGTCGAGCGTTCACATATGATAATTCAGTCGTGCCTAATGTGAAGTGAATGGCGCCGTGGTCAACACTGTTACCTCATCAAAGCGTGACCGCAGTTCTGATCACGGCCGTGGCAAGCATATGCACTACTGACCAGCTCTAATGAGAGCGAAACTCGAGTCTAGTGCTTCTTTTCGAAACAGGCTGACTGCAAAGTCCACCTGATTGCGAACGCTGCGATCAACTGTGAGCGATGTTCAAGTTGGAAGAAACCATAAATCTGACCAGTCTGACAATCAACCAACCAGAAAGCAGAAACCTATTGATCTGATTTGGCCGAACAAGTGCAAGCGGATGATTAGATAAAAGTACATCGGTCGTCTGCAACAAAGGGATCCACTCCACAACACAGAGAAATTTAATAAACCGTCACTTACAGCTAGATGTAGATTTCGGGGGATAAATAAACAAAACAACGATATTCATTCATGGTGAACCGATTTACGTACCTCCAGACTAAATGCAATTTGTCAGCAGTTAAATTATCTCGAACAATGGTAGTCTGCCATATTGCTACTTAACGTTCAGCTCTATATGTGAAGAATATGGTGTACGGGTAAACGAAACACATCAGCAGGCAGGCGATATATCCCATCTAAAAATGGAAACACTCTTAAAATTAGGCTTATAAACTAAATTTACGGAATCGATATTTTTGTAAGCAATATCTATGTCAAGTAGTAATGCGAAACTCGAACTTGGCAAGCTTGCGTCTAGGGGCAACACAATACTGGAAGTACACTTACTTGGCGCACTTTTTGAGGGTCCAATATGTGACTTGTACTAGTGGACGGTGGCAAAGGTAACAGTTCAGGAACAGCTAACTTCAAATTGTCCAATATAAATTGTCGTTTCCTCGCCTCTGTCCGTTCCAATTCCAACTCATTCGAATGGACTAACTAGATAGAAAAGCAGGAAAGTTGTATTCAGTAAACAAACATGGCTTCATGGTCATACATATCAGGCAAAAAATTGAACGAAAACGGTATTGTGTATTAACGCTGGGTAGCATGAAAATCAATACAGAGTCCCGATGATACTCAGTTCACGTTGAAATATTACCCAATGGTCGATAGATAGGTCTATTATTCTGAAACAAAATAAAACCTCTGATAAACAACTATGGGAAGGAGTGACATAACAATGTAATAGATAAATGTAATATATAGCGCGAAGTGTGAGTAAAACAGGGATGTACTGACCAAATATGTGAACATACTGTGGGCGTTGTCATTTCCATACTTCAGTTCAGGTTAGGGTTCACGGTGAACTGTCTAACAGTTTCAGGAGCAGCTTGCGTCGAGGTCGTCCTCTTTCACCATTTTCGTCTAATTTTGTTATAAAGGAAATAATGGGGACCGTCTCCGACGTTCACCAGATGCCGGCATGGACCTTCGGCCCGGTGGAAGGCTGACTGATTCTCATTATGCTGACGACAAGGTCGTGCTGTTTGACACTTTTCAACCAGCAGAAGCAACACTAGAGACTGTTTCGATTTCCGCCAAATACTTCAGAATGCACTTTGCAGCCTCGAAACGTAAAGTGCTTCAGTAAGATTGCTGTGATTATGTAGATTTAATGTTAGATAATGAAGTCATGAAGGTTGTTGACAGGTTTGCGTACCTGAGGAGTTGCATCAGCGGCGGCAGAGGTGTACGGGATGAAACAGAATCTCGTATCTCTAAGGCTAGGACAGTTCTCGCTAATCTGGGGCATCTCTCGTGACAGAGAGGTATCTCTCTGATGTTTGAAGATCGCGAATATAAGGCGACAGTGAGGGTTGTTACATTACGGCAGCGAAACTTGACCGCTCAGGGTAGAAAACGTGAACCGTCTTCAAGTATTTGACCACCGATGTTTGCGTTCGGATCGCTCATATCGGGTGGCATCAGTGAATAAACAACGAAGAGGTTAGGAAACGGGTATTTGATAGTGATTGTCAAACGAGTTATTTTGTTCACTCCTTACATTTACACAGACA